CTCTTGTTTCTTTTCGTGCACTTCTTACCTCGTTTTTGCTTCAAACTCTGCAACTGCCCGGGTGTGCCACACTATTATCACACCTCGGCTCAACTATTGTTCGTACACCAAACCGACAATATTCTTGTTGCCAACAAACGTGCAATTCTGCTTTTCCAAGCGGAGCGCCTCTCACACGCACGTTTCTGTTGCTATGCCAGGACCGGACTCCGAAAATTCAATTGTTTGCGGCTTTTTTAAAGTGTAGAAAGAGTCACGTAAAAACTCAAGGTCATTGGAAATGACATTTAGCGGCAAATAATGTTGGGTTAGAAAACATTTTCTTATTTTAATGCAATTCTACTTGACACAGATTATTCAAATAAAATTAATAAATAATTACCTGGTACGGCTTGTACCACCGACAGGACTCTTTGGGGCGGCCCGGCTTTTGTTGGTGGCACTCTGCTGGGTAGCCTCCCTCTGCGGCGGCGGTCTTTTGGTGCGGCATTTCTTATCCGCGGCTGGCACCATAGTCGAAGACCAAAGAGTTGGGCGGACCATCCCACTTCACATCTGTCTTTACCCCACTTGAATATTTTTTAGTTTGTTAGTTCTTCGACAGCAGACGAGTTGTGTGGAGTATCACTGTTCAGTGTTGTGGACAATAAAAGAATAATTACAGTCCACTTCATTCATTTCTCTTTTCCGCTGCCACAGTAAGTACAATATTATTACATCCACAAATTATCTGCTAGCTAACACCTCATTAACATAAGGAAAACCATATTCGACCCAGAAAGTACTTACGGTGGTCGGAGGGTCGAGCTGCGCACTTTTGCCACACTTCTCAAAATCACAAGCCCAAAAAGAACAGCCCCAGCACTTGCGCACTCCTTGGAGTCTCAGGCAAGAATCCTCTTCTTCCGCCGCGGCGGCGCGGCGATCGCGAATTTACCCCCCGCTCTCGCGGTACGCGGCACGATTTCCGGCCCGCGAAAATTCGCTTCGTTACATTCCCCCCTTTCGTCGGTAAAAAAAAAGGAGTGTAACTTCTTTTTTTTTTTTATTTTTTATTCCTTACCCACCCCCACTAAAACACCTTACAGAAAAGGAAAAAAAATTAAATACACAAACTTCGGCCTCGGCAACTGTTCAAAGGCGGCTGCCGGTTCGTCCTCGCACGGCATTGGTCCTCCTAGACGGGCTCACGCGGGGTGACGGCCGGGGGGAATCCCTAGAGACGGGGCGCCGGACTTCGCCAGAGGACGGTCGACGGGGGCGGCTTCTGCGGGGTCGCTCCGGTAGGCCGCACTGGCAGGCGGCGGACGTGGTGCCCACGAGGCCGCATCGGAACAAAATTTGGGGCCGGCCGGATACGGGCACTGGCTCCGACAGTGGCCCGGTCGCGAACAATGCCAGCAGACCTCCTGGTCTACTGGCACATACCGAGCCACAGGGTCTCGTCGGGGGGCCTCTCCGTCTGTCTGGACCCCGCGGGAGACTAGCTGGGGAGCTGCCCCCATGGGGGGTCCCACCTGGATCCCCCGGGATTTTGGGCGGTGTCCAGCGGCGGCGGGATCCTCTCCCTGAAGCAGCTCCGCTACCAAATTCCGTACGACCGGGTTATCCATCTGAAAACAGACATCACAGTCAATCACAGCGTCGTTTGGAGCGCGTCGGATGCGCGGGTTTCTAGCCGACGGCCCGGGCACGGGTGGCAGCGCGGTAGACACGGCAGGGGTGTTCTGCGACTCAGGGCGATTCCACACTAGCGTCCCCCGGGGGATGTCGATGGCGATGGCGTTGGCGCGCAGGAAGTCCATCCCTAATACTATAGCGGTGGCGAGATTTGGAAGATAAGCAGCACGGATGTTTATGGGAATGCCGCCGATCTTCATCTCTAGGCTGTAGGATCCTATGGACGGGATAATGTCGCCATTGGCCATGCGAGTCAAAACGCGAGGAGCTACCAGGGGAAGAACGTTGCGCTGGTTATTCCCAATGAACGTTCCGGTGGCTCCAGTGTCAAGTAGGGCATCGTAGACGATGTCGAAGAGTGTGACGGAGACATGGGGACGGTTGTCAGGGAATTTCAACGGCACGATGATTGGCGAGGTTTCGTCAGACGCTGCTGCGGCCTCGACGCGGTGCAGCCCCTCTCTCGTTTTCCGGGATACAGGAACAATCCCTGGACATTACCCCCGTTCGTCCGCATCTCGAACAGAACAAGCCGGGTGGATTCGAACAGGACGAACGATAGTGCCCAGTTCCTCCGCATCTCCAACACTTGATGGCGGCGACAGCGTTGGGGGTGGCTGCTCTGGTTGTCGGAATCGTCCTGAACGCTGTACTGACTCCCTGGTCATTTCTTCGGTTGCAGGGGCACTCTCGGGACATTATTCCGCCTCGGCCGCACCTGGAGCAGAACAGTCGGCGTGGCTTCCTGCAGGCCGAGCGGTAATGTCCGGATTCTCCACACCTCCAACATTTGACGGTGGTCCGGTGTTGGCGGTGGCGCCTGTGGACTGCTGGATGGGCCTGGACGACGATGGTGGGGGACGGATGGTCTCCAGCCTTCGCGGTGGTGCCGTGGATGGCTGCACGGGCCTGGACGACGGCTGCAGGGGACGGTTTTCAGACCTAGGGGCGTACGCGTACCTGGCAGCCGGGATCTGGGTGGTCGTCGAGACGCTATTCGGTAGCGGGACTGGTGAATGGCTCCTCACTTCCTTCTGGAGCTGCTCATACTCATCGATGAGCCTCACCAACTCCCCGATGCTCTGGAAGTCTCTATGTACTGTCGTTACTCCGGTAGCAGGTGGCTGTACAGGCGACGAAGGACGGCCTGTGGGGAATACCCTCCCAGACGGCGGGTGAGGGTTTGCATCGCCTGTATGAAATCTCGACAGGCTTCTCCAGGTCGTTGGCGACGGTTGACGATCTGGTCTTCCAGGACTTCTTCATAATTCGGCATGTAGAAGTCCCGGAACTCCTCGACGAAGTCGTCCCAGGAGTACCAGAGGGCCCGGTTGTTACGGTACCACTCCAACGCCTTATCGGTGAGCATTTCCGGCAGCACGGTGAGCATCGTGTCCGGTTCAATGGCAAAATGTTCCTGGAGTTCTTCGGCGCGCTCCAGAAACGCCATGGGGTCGGTCTCTCCGTTGAAGTGAACACGGCTCTTGCGCACTAGGTCCAGGGCTTCCCAACGGGTGTCCCGCGGCTGTGCGTAGCACGACTGGACCGAGTGGCGACTTCGACGGGGCTGTGTCGGTGCCGGTGGTGGCACGAGAGACGGACGCTTCGGTGGCACCGGTTGAAATTCTCGACTCGGAGACGGCGAAGTTGGTCTTGTGGCTGTCGGTGAGGGCGATGGGGAAAGACGGTGCGGTTCCCTGTACGTCCACGTACTTGGCTCGTCGAGTCGGCTCCTGGGGGCCTCTCCAGAGGCGGGACGAGCAAGTTCCAGCGGGACGGCAGGTCGTGACAGAGCAACTGGGGACTGGACTCGGGGAACGGCACCTGTAGTGCTGGTGGGGGCTGCCCATGGGAACGGCGCTGGCATTACTGGTCGTGAAATCACGGGCGTGGACACGGCAGGCCTGGTTAGCGCAATGCTCCAAGTCAGCGATGTCGCTGATGCCGAATTTGCCACCGATGTTGCGTTGATGAGTACGATTATAGAGGCGTTTGCAGAACAGACAAACCGACTATTTCAGGACGGTGTGTATGTGGGAGATACACTGTACAAGTTCCTACCGTTTGCTTACATCGTGGACTCTGTAGCTCGACCGATTATTCAAAACATGTTGCGGTATAACGGCTACTACGGTTGCATCCTGGAAGAACTGTAGGCAGAATCGTCAAATATCCCATAGATATGGATAGTGACTTACGTTCAAAGGCGACCCATATTGAGGATTTGTTAGGAGTGCAGTCTACCAGATATCGACGTCCTATTCGTGGTGTTAAAGGTCCGACTACATGACTTCACTTGCCATATTTTTATCCTGTCTGGTCGTTTCCGGTTGAGTACATGCGTGGAGTACTTCTAGTGTTTTATAACACTTTTCCAACCTTAAAAGAATTCTACTATAGCGTGTGTAATTACCGGGGGAGCGTCTCTTACGACGCCGGTGGGGTATTCGGCACAAATCCTGGATTTTATCCCCTATCCATATTTTTTACGTTGCGAATTGTAGTGGCTGTCGTCGCCTCGTCGCGGTGGCACAGCTTTTAACGATGATTCAGGAAACCTGGAAGAGACCATTTACATGTATCCCTCTTAAATAGGCTACCCTTTTACTGTATGTTTATGGCGTTATGCCTGTACCCAATGTGCGGCTTGTCAGATGAGGCAAGTGAGGTACAGCATCAGCACACGGAACCATAAAAAATATTTTTCTTCGATACTAGGTTACAGTGGAATGGTAATGGTCCTACAAGTAACCAATTTGGTATTTTGACGCCTAACAAACTAATACCCCTTTGACATGTCGGAAGTTGTTTCGAGTGGATAGTACTATTGTACGCATGGATGTGTGTCTGTGGATTATTATTGTATACATTTATCGCTTACACGAGTGCTTTCGTAGTGTTGAATAGTGTGTTTACGTTACTCAATATTACTGGGCAACTATTAATGGTTGAAGCACATTCTTGGGTTGGCAATTCTGAATTATGTTAACATGTCAGTCACAGTTGTCAATTGTGACATGGGCGCGCTTAAAAAACAATAAGATGGGAGCTAGTGAATTGGTGGCCAAACGTACACATTCATATTAGGTATGCCATCAAAGAGTTTTACATACGTCGCCAACCTGACAAACACAGCACAAACATTCATAGTCGCCCGATAGTGTCGTGTACCTTGTATCGCCAACAGCTTAGTCGGGTTCAGCGCCGATTTCGCAAGTGCCTGTGTCCGCCGACTACCCGTTCCCGTAACAGACGAGCACCGCAATGTCTCAATCCCGAAAACGCCGACCGCTAACTCTTTTGCGAACTGGGAATCTCGTGTCCTGGCCTTTGCAGCATCGGCGAGCGTGATGCTGACGTAAATACCATGTCCAAGATGGGTCTGTGAACATGTCTGTGCGTTACATACTAGTGCTGGTGCAGCATCGACATGTACAGTGCTCATCTGGGATATCTATGACGAGCATCGCACTGAAAGATTGCGATAATTGTGTATAATAGAATTATGGAAATACCCATAGTAACGCACTATGTCCACTGTGTGGTGCCAATGTGGGTTCCATATTGACGGATGCGTATATACTTGATCGCCAATTCTTGCACCAATGAGGAGGTCAGCGGTCGGGCATTGCGGTGGTGTCGACATTTGAATGCCTACAAATACGTAATATATTTGTGATACATAACTAGTGAACCTCGATTACCTCGCATTTTGGCGATGACGTCTTCTTGTAGCTCCCGGTTGAGACGCCTATAGAGTGCCACCTCCCCTTCCAGTTCTTTAATTCGTTGCGCCGGGTTTTCGCTGCTTTCTGCTGCGATCTCTCTGCCTTCGGTGTTCCTCGATGCGGCGGATTGTTGCGGAGACACGCAACCAGGCCTTAGGGAGGGCAACCACGAGGGCGAGGGCGACGCCAGTGGCTAGGGCGACGGCTTGCCCGCGATGTTGAGGGCTGGGGCCCTTGCAGTCTCGCCGGGACGGTCGCAGGCACTATAGTATCATACCGCGCAACATGGGCAGCAGTGGGCATCTGTCAATACATACAGGGAGTGGAATACGTCGGTGTATAAATTTGTCATATGAAAATTGACTATGTTTGTGTAGTGTAATGCTTAATGTGTGGAAGGCTGGTGTTATACAAGCGCAATGTAGTCGATATCAGTGGGAGATAAAATAGGAAATAGGACCGTGTAACCGACAACAGACGTAACCACGATTCAGAATAAGCTACATATGCACTAGACATGACCTCGCAGCATGTTACGACTAGGTTACGTTGTGAAGTAATGCGTTTAACGATTGTCATAAAGTAGATACCATATGGAGGATTTTGCTAACGTTCCCAACACCTATTCCTATTACATTAAACATGTGTGATACCAGTATGAAAGGACTAACTGTTATGGAACGATCAAGTCACAAAATACTCGGTCAGAGTAGAAGTGGGTTAACGTAGCGCTGACGTCCAAGGATGTTCGGAATTCTCAGTGTGGAGGTTGTCGTGTGGTCGCATTTTAGCACGGTTCGTGTGTGGAGTGACAAAGGTTAGGCTTACCAGTTTTCGTTTTTTCGGTGGCAGAGCGTCTTGGGATTGACCCAGGGATGTCCCCGAAGACGTGGTATCGTCTACCAGACGTGTCGGGACCACGCCTACTCCTCTACGGTCTCTGTCAAACAACATCTGGATTAACACGTATCAGCACATGCACGCGTCATAGTTGCATTGCACTAAATTAAGCGTCCTCTTCATACTAAACACAATGACGTTAACACAATGTCAAAATTCTATGTGGTCACAGGATATACAGTCGCGGCAGTTCATCGGAAGCACCTATATATGTCTTTATTGTAAAGTGTAAGTATATAGTACTGCATATAACGTTGGTGATACATACAGTTGCCTATCGTTTACTGCATAATAGGCTAGACAAAAAATAATTACGTCGCATATTTACATAATCTACCTTTCGAGTAAGCTTTGTATTTTTTTAGGGTTAAGTAACTACTCCAAGTCTTTTATCCTACTGCCCATATGAATTATACCACTCGAATAGGTAAAACACCGCTTAACTAGTTAGCTCCCAATGTATATTCTGCGTCACTGGAAAGGTACATTTTGCGCTGTGCATCTGCAGTCATTACACTTCGACTACTTGATATAGTAGTTACGACAAAGTTAATCTAATTGTATGTTTGGAACTGGGGGTCGATTCTCGAACTCGTTCGAATAAGTTCCGCATACGCAAGTGGCGAACTTCCGAACGGTTTTGAAGATTCGCTATTCTCGAACCGCGCGCACACGTTGGTATACGCAAATGTCCGAGCGTATACGAATGTCAAGTTACGAGTGGGTAGACGCGATCGCATTTTGGTTTGCGAGTGGTGAAAGCTAACCTAAAACTCAGTTTGGTCACAGTATACCATACAGTAGAGACAGCGTCAAATATTGGAACAACGTGTCCTTACCCAACCATTTTGATTAGGGGGGATTTTTGAAACGAAGTGGAATATTGGTTGCCTAAATTACAAATACAGCTCGTCCGTAAAACAATGTAAAAGGAACTGATATAAACATCGAATGAACTGAAACCAATTTTTGGAGTGTGGTATGAAGACTACGAAAAAAATACCATTTTGAACAATAAAAAAGAATTGTGCTTATATTTATTTTATTCATTAATAAAAGTCTATCACTTTACCAATTGAATTTCAACATAAACATAACCACTACCTATTTTGTCAATGCCCTCAATTTTCGCCAAGTGTAAACCGTTTGAAGAGTCAGAAAGTGAACGCTGTTGTTTTCATCTTCCCTGGGAAAAGTACTTTGATGTTTTTGGTTGAATTTTTGTTGTTAGTTAAATTAGTAAAGTGATTCTGAGAACCTTTTCATAATAACATAGACTACAATCGTAGACCACTTCGTGATTGCACTCACAATGAAAAAACCTGCCTCAGGGGCTTCTTTAAATTTCCCTCAGAATCTGTAAGATAAGAAATATAAAGAAGTATATTATTCTATAATCAATAAACAAATATTTGGTATGCAATTTTTACAGCACAGTGAAAATTCCAATAGTTGTAATGATTTAGGATCTATTTAACTAGCAATTGAATCTAAAGAAAGTAACCAGTGTCAAATTATTAATACAGTTTTAAGCTGAACAACTTTTGCACATAAATCTGTGGAAGTAAATATGACAGACTACAGACATCTGGACATGGAGGAACAAAATTCTTGAGGTTATGTCTGTGGATACTTAATGAAGAAATGCTTGATGAAATATACCTGTGAAACATGTAGTTATTTTGCCGTTGCATGTAATGTCATCATATATGATAAACTTCTCTGTCACTTCAACGCCTTTGATGATGATCCACCATTTTGGTAATCCTAAAGCTGGCCATTCACGTTCCAACGTCCCAGTACGATTGTATTGGATGCAACTGTTGTACAATTCTGTTAAAAAGCAGCAGTACACACACACGTTACGACCTTGTAGTTAAAAATTTGCGATCGTGATGACAACATGTCTGACGAAATGACGAAAATGTACTTTTATAGCTGCTCTCACAGTTTGAATAACATACACTGTCGAGACATGTCCACACATGATCAAATTTCCATCCAATACAACACGATTGCTGCTACAGACAGACTTGTTCACCAACCGTCCACATCCAGCCGATTTGCTTGATCGCATACACAGACGTTCAAAAACACGTCAATTTCGTCGTATCCAAAACAATTGTACTGCGGCATTGGAACGTGAGTGGCGGGCTTAAGATGCTGCATGAAGCATTCACCTTTTATTTTGCAACCCTAGAAAAACGATTTGCTTCACTATTTTCTACCAACTCAATTTTACCTTCATGTGGCCGATATATAAAAGCAGCCCTCGTAACTGTGTCCATACCAGCATACCGCACCTCTATGCCCTGTGTACAGTTTCCACAAGATTATTTATTCTATTTATTTGTTCGAATGCGCATTTTCTATTCAGTAAAAATAATAAATCACAGTTACAATATTAAATACCAAACATCTAAAATGTCAAATTTGACGCACAATGTTCACATGGTGGTAAATTTTATTTAGTAACAAGGTTTACCACTACAGTTTCAAGCCAAAATTCAAGGTCATGTCCTTACCCAACGGTCGATTATTGTTGTTCTCTGGTCCGTTACGTGTATTTCTAATGGGGCTTTCAAAAGCTGTCCGTACTGTATGGTATTCTGTGGTTTGGTTTTGGTCGTTCTGTGTTAACATCAATATAATATCTTTAATCTGCTGTATCTGTTAATACACATTAATAGAAAGAGTTACCATTCCAAAAATACACAAAATGTAATGTATCAATTTGATTGTGGGAATTTTATAATTTCATTTACTGTTTTGACATTTGTGATGCAAATTTAAAAATTTTAAATTGAAACAGCCGATTTCTGTGTAGTACACATAATAGCTACATGTGTATGAAGAAACAACGCACTGGTGCGATATTTTGTGTAATTTCTAATAATACATTAACACGTTCTTATTATGGTTGTAACAATAATTTTTAGGTGACTCTGGCTAGCCACTGCGAACATTTCAAATATACGTACAGTTGTTTTAAAAATAAAAACTAAAATGAATTCTGAAAGATCATTTACTGTACAAAACGGTTGTAATGGTATGCATAAGTATACCTGAATAAACATCGGGTAACCAAACCCTAAGAATTTTCTATAAACTAGGAGAGTACACGCAGTAATAAAGGGATTAATATGCAAATACCTGCTGGCTGCGGTGGTCCGGGACATTAAGTTTGTATCTGCATAATTGTAAAAAAATCACAAGAGTTTGTATTAAATACGTAGGGTTGCATAAAATCGTAAAATCAACAATTTTTTTTAATCACGATTTTTTTATGTTTTTTTAATCTGTCAATTATTTGAAATTAAAATAGTAAGTATCCGACTTAATGTCATCCTTGTGTCGTACTTCTTAGTTTTAAACAATGAAGAGAATTTATTGTAATTTACATTGCAAAAAAGGAATTGATAGTGTTATTTATAATATTCACTCCTATAATCTTTAAAATACAATTTAAAAGAATAATCGTTCCATTTTGTTGGAAATATTGTATTCTAGTTAAAGTTCAACTTATTTTGATATAAATTTGCATTAAAAGGGCCGTAATATGCATTGCATATTCCAAACTGTAAAGACAACTAACAAAAAACCAATAATACTTTAAAGCAATAATTTAAATCGAGCCAATCCTGTTAATACGTGTTTTGCTGTTTAATAAATTTGGAGGTAACAGATTAAAATAGTCCTTCTTGGATTCAAACTCACCCCGCGTGAGTTCTGCCAACCATCGCATTTAAATATCCTCTGTATTTTGCCGCTGTTGCCATATCCTCACCCGAACAGAGGCCTTCGTATGCGCATCGAGTTGCTATTCGCATTGAATCTCGTTCAAGAAGACGGATTTTCGTTTCGAATAGCATCTTGGCATGCGCATGTATTCGTACTCGCATCTTTACGAACGAGTTCGAGAATCGACCCCCTGGTACTTAACAATGGTGGCCCAATGGACCCGGTCTTCCCTAGTTCGGTATTTGTAGGGGCCTCGAAAGTGGGATAATGAGGAGTTTTGTATATTTTCTACGGGGAGGATGTCCTCCACTTTGGATCGTACAAATACTACAGTCGCATACTTCTA